CTTCTTCAATTTCACCTTTCCTTGTATTGCTGTCAATCAGCAGAGAGCATGCTCGTTTGACTGCAGAAGCCTGCATTTTAATATGACCTCACACAAGTCTAGTTTACCCCGTCTTTAAAAAATGAGGAAAGGCACTGAACGAAAAGGCAAAGCACATTAATTTTCTGGAAGGGATGTGTCATGTACTCAGTTTCATTTCTTTTAGGTCCTAGGCATGTCGGGTCAGTGTTTTCTCAAGCCCAAAAAAGGCTAATTAACTTCTATAAAAGAGGCCATGTTTCTCACAAAAAATTTCATTCCTTTGCTGAACAGTTCTCCAGAGAGAACAGCCTTACCTCCCCTGTCCTGGGAGACCAGCGATTTCACTTAATGTCTTCTTTTGAGCTGACTTTAACGGGCACTTGTTAAAATGATGAAATCTGAATTTGGTGATTGTCGGGGACTGGGAGGAGCAGTTGTGCTCTAGAGTAATGTTATTTTAGGAAGCTGGTTAGACAAAAATGCAGAAGCAAACATTCATACCATAGGCTCACTGCTTTATGTCTTTTTTCTTGAAATCATCCTGTTCAAACGGAATTTCATAAGGAAACTCACAATTGATATTTAAGTCTACACATGATCTTGAACACATTAACTATGGATTATAAAAGATCTGATACTGAATACAATGATTACATTTTTTAAAAAATGACACTTAGGTGACAGAAAAAACACACAGACTTCTTCTTCTAATATAACCATCATTCCTTTATTTCCAGCCTATATTTTTTGTTTAAGGGTTGTTTACATATGCACATATGATTTTTAAAGTAGGTATCAATTTTCACCTAAACATTGATGACAGTACAACCTAACCCTCTTAAAAGTCTTGTGGAATTCCATTACATCACTTCCGTCCCAGCCCACTGCTAAAGAATAGAAAATAATAAATATTAGCCTTTTTCCTATTACTTGAATCTTAAATGGCTATAAAGTATTCTATTATGTAGATATGCCACAGTATCTTTACCTATTCTCTCACTGCTGGATATTTAGGCTGCTCCTAAGTTTTCATAATTATACATAATGCTGTAATTTCCATATGTACATTCCCAAACTACAAATCTATCTTTCAGTGTTCTCTCAAGTGAGTCTTAAAAAGCCCGAGTATTCTAACCTATAAAATACTTCTCCAACTACTCAGCATTAGAAAAGTAGAAATTCATTTGATTTTGTATCAATTTGGAGGGGGAAAAGAAATATGAAAAGCAGCATATCCAGATTCAGACAGAATTTACTTATTTTCTTCAAGTCAAAATAAGAAGTTCCTCTATCTAGGAGGAAAAAAACTACCATTTATTCTTTTAAATACAAACATATATAAAAACCTACTCTTTACCTAAGTCTTTCGCAACTACTTCTTTTACTCCTTGTCTCCCTTTTTCAAAAGGGTTCAAGGTGCTCCCTAGGCAGGCTTTTTTTTTTTTTCCAAATTTCATTTTAGACTCAGGAAGTACATGTGCAGATGTGTTACCTGGCTATACTGTGTGATGCTGAGATTTGGGATGTGAAATGATCCCATCACTCAGGTACTCCGCATAGTACCTAGTAAATAGGTTCTCAACCCTGTCCCCTTCTCTTCCTCCCCACTCTTTGGAGTCCCCCATGTCTGTTATTCCCATGTTTACATCCATGAGTATCCAGTGTTCAGCTCTCACTTTTAAGCAACAACATGTGGTATTTGCTTTTCTGTTTCTCCACTAGTTCACTTAAGATAATGGCCTCTAGCTCATACATGTTGCTACAAAAAATATGATTTCATACTTTTTATGGCTGCGTAGTATTACACGGTATACCATATTTTCTTTATCGAATCCACCACTGATGGGCACCAGAGTTGACGCCACATCTTCACTATTGTGAACAGTGCTGTGACAAACATATGGGGGCATGCAGCTTTTTGGCAGGATGACTTCTCCTTTGGATATACTTTTGATGGTTTCTGCCTTCTCTCTACCTCATTACTCTTTAAGCATTTGCTATCTGGCTTCTGCTTCCATCAGCCAATGAACTCTCTTTCAAAGACCATATACTAATGCTCTTTTCTTCACACTGTTCATTCATCTCACTATCATATTCTCAGTTTGCCACTCCCCTTCTTGAGTTCCTCATCCTGCTCTTCCAAATGTCGAGATGCCTTCAGCACTTAGACTTATATCTGGCCACCTTCTCTGCATGTATCTCCTTTCTTCAAGTCTTCAGCGTCTCTAGACTGGTGTGTAACTCCTGTATCTTCGGTTACTACAACCTCTTCACCTTCAAAATCCTATGTGCTAACCGAATTAGTCATCTTTGCTGCCGTCAGCTGCCAACCTCCACTGTGGCCTACAGTGTGTTTCAAAGATGGCTCTAGTAATTATTCCCATCGCACATGCTCTTCTGCTATGTAACCCTGGCATCCCCACCACGAGTGGCAGTCCAATCTTCTCCCCTTTAATCTGGGCTGGCTCTTAGGACTCTCCTCACCAACAGGATATGGTGGAAGTGGCACTGTTCAACTTTTGAGACTCAGCTGAAAAGGATCATACAGCTTTCTCCTGGTTCTACTGGAAGGCTCCTTCTACAGAAGTTCACCTGTCTCAAACCCAGCAGCCATCTCACTGGCAGCCCAACGCATGTGAGAGGCTCGCACATACTTCAGTTAGCAGCTCCAGATAAGCCCAGCTTTCTGGTCACATCTCCTATGTGTCCGATGTGCTAGTGAGGACACCTCCTGATGACTCCAGCTGAGTCATCTGCCATTTCAATGCTTCCAGCTGAGGCTCTCGACATTGTCAGACACAGAAAGGCCATCCATCACCTCTGTGCCCTGTCCAAATTCCTGACTCACAAGGAAGAAGTTCTATGCCACTAAGTTTGGGAAGATGTGTTACATAACAGTATCTGCCACAACCAACAAAACCACCAGTTCTTCCTGGCTCCCTCTGCCTAAGACATGTGTTTCTGCACATCCATTCACACAGCCGAGAAGCATCATCATTTGAGAAATTGAGGTGAGCAGGGGTATGCATGCCAGCTCTGCCAGGCTCTTACTCCTCTAGTCCATTCTGTAGACTACTGAATTCATCTTCTTAAACCACAGGTATAACCATGCCATGCCCTGCTATAAAGCCTTTACTACAGCTCCAATGCCTAGGGAACAAAGTCCAACCCCTTGGTCCAGCATGCAAAGACCTCTAAAATTCAGCTTAACTTCACATTCTCTGCCTTCTCTCTCATTTTCCACTGCTGATGTTCCAATCTGGTTGGAACATCAGATATATATTCTACACGTATGGCTCACTCATGCTGTTCACCCTGCCTCTCATGTCTTTTCCTCTCATGGCCATGGGTACCTCCTTTAACGCACAGCCCTGCCTCACCTGAACCACCTCAGCACTTCGCTCTCACCTCGTTTCTGGCACGCCTCACCTTTGCTTGTGTGTGGACATTTGCTTTTGCATCTCACCTCTTCTACTGAACCACAACATTCATTAAAGCCTCAAATCACATCTTAACACCTGTGTTCTCAGTGCCTAACACACTGCCTTCCACATCAAAGGCATTCAGTGATTCTGTTGTGGTGGAGAGTATATCAGAAGGACAGGCTTCACTGGCAGGAAAAAAGTTAATGATCTTCTACTCCAACATTTAAGAAACATGTATAGTGTGCAAGGCCCTGGGAAGTAGATTGGCCCTCCTGCTCCTTTGGAAGTTCTGATAAAGCCTAACTACTTCACTACAGGCAAAAGGAGAAGTCTGAAGGGAAATTCTGACTTTAGGTGCCTGGAGAAGAGGCTATAAAAGAACAGACACTTGCTAGTACTATCCAGCAATGCAGGGGGTTCAAAGGCGTGTGTTATGAGCCAATGTTTCTGTGGGTATGTGTTGTTGTGATAGGCCAATTATTCCTACTGACTGAGTAATATGGAGCCAAATCCTGTCATAAATGTGATGCATCTCATTCCAGGCCTTGCTTTAATGCATTGGCATTTTGAAAAGAAAATGATAGACAACTGCAGCTCGCTGCTGTGTGATAACAGCGCCATTTTCTACATCAGTCGAGATGCCATCAGAAGAGCATAATTTAAAAGGAGAAGCCAGTTGCTACTTCCCTTCACTTGGCCAATTCCAGTCAGAAGTGTTTCAGGCACTCAATAGACACATGTTTTTGCCCCTTGAAAAAGGTCTGGGAGTCCTAAGACTGCTTAGGTTTACTCTAGTCTAGTGTCACCTGCTTAAAAAAATGCTTTATCATCCACACCCCACCCCAATATGTACAAAACACACCTCTCATCACTTATAAATCTTTTCATTGTTAATTCAGTTTGGAAGCTGGTATATTAAGAGCATTCCTGGAATCATCCATATACCCTAGGAAGATAACCAAATTCAAACTCAGCAAAAACTCACAACACCAATGCCACCTTTAGAGATGTAACACATCCCTGACGTCACAGTGTTTTTGTACTTTGGGAGGAGGGGTCTTCCTAAACACCATCTAGAGACTGGAACGGCCCAATTCTGTAGCCTCCTGTGGCCCCAAGTATCTCAAACCCACCTCACAGCGACAGAGTGGCACATAAGCTAGTCGCAAGAAAATCAGAAAGACTTAATTCTTCCTTGAAACCCAATCCTCAAGGATCAATTTTGCCATCAGTGGTTGCTCCCCCATCTTCTCCCGCCCCTTTAAGAAATCAAGAAAACACCTTTCCCTGGAATTTGTAGAAATATATTTTTACATGAAATTTTATTTTGGTCTAACCATGCAGGAAGCTATTACCCATCCATTATCTTTATGTGCGTGATTAGCAATAATAGCTGATTTGTGAAGTTATCTATTACGGGAAATAATCAAGATTAATGAGCCCTGTGGCACTTGCTGAATGCCTCGAGAGATTTATTGCTCAGGCTGTGCATCTCTCTTGTTGTGTTGTTGGTGCTGTCAGGAGTTTTTTCTTTCTTTCTTTCTTTTTTTTTTAAACAAATGCAAATGGAGACATGGATTCATTGTGGAAGAAGAAAAATGTTCTTTCAGTGTTATCAAATATTTTGGACTGCTCAGCACCACCTCTCTCAATGATGCTATTTTACTTTACATAATGATGTTGGAATGTTGGAGTCTAATCCCCATTCCCTATTAGACCCGGGTAGGGAGCATGCAGCTCACACCCTCTGTGGTGCAGGGAGCAGACACAACAACGCAGCTCACTTGGGGCTCCTGTCCAAAGCCAAGACACAGCCCAGGCAGAGGGAAAAATACGGTTGTTATTACTGCAAATGCCAGGGGAGTTTAAATCACCTGCTCAACTGGGGAGATGGTGTTCTCTCCTCAGTGGAGCTGCCCTATAGCTATAGGGCTCTTCCAGATGGCAATGCAAATACACCTTCATTGTGAAAGTCTGGATTAATTCGGGACAGTGCCATGATCTACGCATTTCTGGAAATGGAGTGGCAACCCAGGATTCAAATGGTGGTACTGTCTATTTTGTTAACTGTGTGGTTAATATGACATTATAAAAACTGCTTCTGACACAAGCCAGATGGGGAGGTGGGGACAAAACACTCCCAATGACTGGATCCCATTTTGGGGAAGCAGATGTGGTCCCTGAACCAGACCGCCTGCTTTTGAATCCCCAATATGTAACATTGGGCAGTTTCCGTCAACTCTCTGTGCCTCAATGGCCCATCTGGAAACTGGGAAAAGCAACACTACCAGCAACAAGGTCATTGTGATGGATGTAATGAATTAATTCATGTAAACGTGCTTAGGAGTACTTCATAAATGTTAGTTATTGTTATCACTGCCAAATAACAATTTGCCAATCAAAACAGGTTTGACAATCTCCTGGACTCTTCATTCATAGTGTTCTAATATATGGGCTCAAATTTCTAGGTTCCCAGTCTTTTTCAATGAACAAGATTATGGTATAAAAGATTAATATCAAATTTGGACATAAAAGGTCTGGCTTCTAGACCCAGGCCAGTCACTAAGCAATGGTGTGCCATTGACCATGGCATTTTATTACTTTGGGTCTAGTTTCTTGTCTAAAAAGAACTGGAAATTGATTTCCAATGACTTCACTGACTGTTATCTACTAAACCTTTAGGTTACATTTCTTTTTGTTAACTTAAGGGGAGAAACAGTATGATGATTAAATATAAAATCACTGCCATATTCTCAACATTTTACGTAAAAGAAAGAAAAGCCAAACAAGAGTAAATCCAAATACCAAGAATATCATCATATTATCAATTAACAAGGCCACAGTATTTATTTTAGAAATTTTCAGAAACCAAAGCCTTTGAAAAATACAGTAATAACACAACATCCCAATAGGATACGTTTAATGTGTTAGAGCCTAGAATTTCCATAATGATATTAAGAGGATCATTGGGTTTATTTAAAAGCATATATACTGATGACCTTAGCAGTTTGATGATAATGACCTCTTTGTTGAGGGATCTGTATTCTCTAGACGATAATTTTCACACTCTCTTGGCAGATCGTAGAAAATAACATTGTGGGTTTTCTTCTTTTATTCTCTTTCCTAGGGATTTGTTACTAATTATCAGGTAGAGTCTTAGATTTCCGTATCAACGGCAAATTCGCTAGTTTTTAAAGCAGTATTTTCAATTTAAAAGCAGAAATGAGTCACTGTGAATTACACCAATTGTGAATTTAAGGGCATGACTACTATTTTTCTCATTCAACTCCACCCTTGACTCTGACTGTTAATGTACTATCCATATTTCTTTAAGCCCAGGTGAAATTCTAAGACATCATCTTCAGCCTTTCCGAATGACATTCACTGCTCAGCACCGCAAAGCCTTTATATTTCTAATGTAGCATTTTGCACAACACACTTAACTAGGTGTTGACACTCACCTTCTTTCGCCCCAGTAAGGACCTAAGTACAGCATCTACCTCTAACCCATGTTTGTTCAAAACTACAGCCAATCTCGTGTTCATGCATTCCTCTGGCTACCCAACAAGACCCTAAACACAACACCTATGTCTTCATTTGCATTTGTTTCCACCACCATATCTGGCATACACTACTGACAATGTTGATATTCAACCTAGGTTGTGCAACTGAATTATTTTACTTCTTGGAGTTACATCCAACCAGAAAACAAGGAAGTAAATTCTACCGGAGGAAAATGAATTTTCCAAGTGATAGTTTCCTTTCTTTGCCAAAATACTATTTGCTTAGACCACTGGCAACCAGCATGGACTGGGTCATCACAGTGGGCTGGTAAAGGCTGTGAAACTTCGATAGTAGGGTCCATCCCCCTCCACCCCCGGACTGAGGGAGCAGTAAATCATGGCTGAAACACTCCATGCTGTGGTTGCTGAGACTGGCAACAGGAAGCACAGAGTGAAGATATGGTCACTACACATCAGCCTGGGTTTCAAAGCCCTCTCCATGCATTTTCTGATTTAATTCTCCCTTACCACTAAATGGAAACAGCATCTTCATCCCCTTGGGTAAAGATGAAGACACTAGAGTGTGGAGAGGTTCACTGGCTTGCCCAAGTCAGTGGTGGAATCAAGAGTCCAATTCAGGCTCTCAGACTCCCAAGTCCTTGCTCTCAACCACTCAACTCTGTGAGATGGGGCAGACAATACACGCATTATCCATTGCAGGAAAAGGGGAAATCTAGAATATGGGAAGGAGAAAACAGGTTAAAGCAGAGGGTTGAACTGAGGTTCCAGAGAGGGTGCCTGACACTACCTTAGTAAAAGCTTTCATGTAAGACCAAGGCTATTTTCTATCCTTGACAGGCCGGTTATTTGGAGCTTTGACACTCTCCTCTACGATAGAAACATATACCACCATCACCATGCTGCTCCTAGGCCAGTGTGTTGTGGCCTCTTCCCGTCCCTGTTAAACTCAATTACATTTACATTAAGGGTTCCTTCCTAGAAGCCTTTCACAGAGCAGTCAAGAAGCTGAAATATACATTTGCTTCCTATTATTAGGAATTCACCAGTTGGCACAGTCCCCAATAATGGGCATCTGTCAAAGTGATAATGGTCCTTTCACTCCTTTCACCAGTTCATTTTTATTTTCCCAACAGAGGTGTCAGCTGTCAACAGATTCTGTGGTATGAACAGAAGGGTCACTCTGACCCTTCACCTCACTGCCAGTCAAGATAGGATAAAAATCACAGCCAAAGGAAGTGCTGTGTACTAGGATGGGACCTGGGGTTAAGATCCAGTATGAGGATGGATCATACTGACTCCTCTATGAAGGCAGAGTAGGAACACTATTCTTATATGAATGGAATTTTTTCTCTGACATCTATTTATTTGGCTTAGAGATATAACTAAAAAGTAACTTCACCTCATTCTGCTCTAAATATAAGACACTAGTGATTTTTTAACAGCTAGTCAGTATATGCAAAGGGGCTGTTTCACACACGCTATTTGAAGGACAACAAGCTCTGACCGATTTGCTCAAAGCCAGCTTCTTTCCCCCATTTACAAGAAGTAACTTAAAGTCCACAGATTTTTTTCTACCATGGATGAAGCAGTCAGGCCATAAAGCGTGGCTTATTCACAGGCAGCATGCACTTCATGCCAAGAGCTCGAAGAGTATGCTTTTCATCTTAAATTCGGAAGTGTGAAACACTGACTCCAGAGATCGGTAATCTGAAAATCATAGCATTTTTAGAACTGGAAGGGATCTCAGAGCTCATCTAAGTAATCCCCTCATTTTACAGATCACAGAATTGAGAGGTACAGAAGAGGAGTGATATACATAGTTACTCTCTACTCAGAGCAAAGTAGGATCTGGAGTCATTTTCATGTCTCGTAAGGACTAGGTTTCCACCCTGTAGCCTAACCTAGCACATTGCCTTGCCCAGGCCAGCCATCAGAGCCTTTCTGTAGAATAAACAGCTGATTGAGCTGGAAATACAAGAAAAAAGAAAACAAACTAGTGGGAAGAGAGTTTAGACATGATAATCAGCACATGGGCAGGTCATACAGCTCATCCTTATCACTGCAAAGAAGCCAACTTCACCAGTTGGCTGCAACTGAATGGACTCTCTTTAGGGTCCTCTGTTGGAAGGAGCTAGAGGCAGGATACCATTTTTCGCTGTTTTCTTGGAGTTTTAACAGTTTTGGATTCTGCGAGAGCCCCTGGAGGTAGAGCAAAGATGAGGCTGTGTGAGGGGTGACAGGGTGTGTCACCTTCCTCACTCCTGCCCTCCACAGGACTCTAGGTCCACACAGAAGCAACGGATACAGCCCCCAGCCCCAGGCCATGGGAACATGAACCACTCTGTGATAAACTGGCCCAAGTGACAGGCAAAGCCACAAGTCTCTCCAGGGAACGAAAACTTGGCCAGGGTGACGTGTTATCAGGCCCAGAATAAAGCTTATTTTATTTGATTCTCCATGAGTTAAAAATGCATGGAAGAAAGCACCAATATAATCGGGACGTTAGAGTCCAGGGAAAATGCATCAGCACGTGATGAATGTGTCCTCAAAGAGTTTCTTTCTTAAGGAAAAGAGTATCAAGGAAGCCCAGCTGATACACATTAGAAACCCTTTGCCAATACTTATTTACCAGAGTGAGCAAAAGAATGTGTCAACCATGTCAGAGAGAAAACCTATCAGTCAAAACCTCCTTGTATAAATTTTCATCTATTTCTAAATCCATCTCCCATGAGGACCTTTCCAGAGGTTCCAACATGTCAACTTATTAAAATTCCCTAATTTTTTTCTATTTCATCTCTTCCAGGTTCTGGCTGGTATCTGATCCCTCAGTGCCAAAATAGTGAAGCAGGTTCCTCAAGTAGAATTTCCATCTTTCCTAAAAAAAAAAGTTTTATCGGGAGCATGAATGCTCTTTCCCTAACATTTTGTTTAGTCAGTTTTTCAAACTTGAATTGTCCCAGGTATGACTTAAGAGAACCTGGATACTAGTTAAACTTGAGTTTTCAAGAAGTCCCCTTTCAATTATGGAACTGAGAGTTAGACACCGACTCCTTAAGGCATCTTCCTTCCCCTAGGCTGGTCTTCTTGCCAACCTGGGTAATAGAAAATCCCTTTGTAAAAGCTTCTTCAAAAAAATCTTACTTTCTAGGTGATGCTATTAACATAAGAACATGTCCCATTTTATAAAAGTTCTTATGTGTTAGTACAAATGCACATAAGTCTTCATGTTACTAATGAATTTAAGGTTAGAATTGCCCCCTCTTCTCGAATAAGCACCATTTAAAGAATACTTTTGTTCTATGTTTGATTTGTCTGAAATGGATGCTAAAGCAACATCTGAGAAATTCAACCAACACCTGTTTTTCAAAGGAACACCAGACTAATTTATCTCAGTGAGCCCACTCAGAAACTAAGGCCAGAAGCACGCTGAGACAGAGAGCCCTAGCCTGCCTCCAGAAACTGGCAGCTGGCTAAACTTAATTCTAATGACAACAGACATGGATCAACTTGTGGTTCATACAATTTTCTTTTCATTAAGTGACTATTAGGACTTTGATTAAAATTAAAGACTGTCCCAGAAAAGCCTGTCCAGCATCCTCCTCCATCTCTGGACTAGGAGCTTATCACAGACACTTTAAATTAACCACCCAGATGAGGTTCTCTCTACAATACACAATGAAAAGGCCCTTCAATATCCAAGTAAGTGTCATGCACCAATTACATTCTTACAGAATAATTGTTTGACAGAGATGAAGGTAATGGTTCATGCAGACGGAAACTTTCACGTCTAACACTGGCTTTGCCCGAAATTTACAAAACCTGCATATATCTAGATGTCCATGTAGTCAGTGCATCCATTTTCTAAGTAATCACAGGTAAATTGTAAACTGTATGTTTCTAGTCTAATAGAGGAACTAATAGCCACGTCCCACTAAATAGATGTACTTGCCCATTTGCTCATTCCATGAATGTTTACTGTGGTAAACATACTGTGGAACCTAGGGTGTCCAGAAACTGGACGCTGACCAAGAAATTATCCATTAATGTCTGTAAAAGACTTGTAAAAATACACTTTGTTTAAACAAAGAAAAAGCAAGGGGAACTAATATTAATGGGGTCGCTACTTGGATTTTTTATATGACCTCACTTGATTCTCATAATAAACCTATGTTATTCCCGTTTTTTAAATGAAGAAATTGAGGTTGTGAGAAGTTAAAGGTTTTGCTCAAGGTGACCCTCAGTAGCAAAATCAGCATTTGAACTAGTGTCTGTCAAGTGCAAAACTCTTTCCGCCCTACCTTACTTTCATAAATATGGCTAAAACATTTACAAACTGGAGAGCAATTCACAGAAGTTTATGATCTTGATGGTTCAGTTTTTTTCTTAGCACTTTAAATACGTAGTAAAAATAGCAGCTAAAAAATCCCTCAGTCATCTTGCTTTATTACTAAATGCTACTGCTGTTTGCACTGTACTGTGTTAACTCTGATTACATGTGATGATACTGCCAAGTGATGGCAGAAGCTGACACAAGAAGGAAAGTTGAGCGACAACTTCTTACCCTCTTGAATTGCTAGATTCCATGGCCTAAAAAAGCCGGGGGGGGGGTGCTGTACATTCTCACAGTGCTATGAAGAAATATCTAAGACTAATTTACTAAAAAAAATAGGTTTACCTGATTTATAGTTCTGCACAACTGAAGAGGCCACAGTAAACTTAAAATCATGGCGGAAGGCCTCTCTTCATAGGGAAGCCGGAGAGAGAATGAGCGCCAAGCGAAGGCAGAAGCCCCTTATAAAATCATCACATCTCCTGAGAATTCACTATCGCCAGAACAGCATGGGGGAAACCCCCAATCCCTAATAATTCAATCATCTTCACCTGGTCCCACCCTTAATACCAGGTGATTATTACAATTCAAGGCAAGATTTAGGTAGGGACACACAGCAAAACCACACCACGGGTCATTTGCATTTTCCGCAAATTTTTGTTGAGGAGACAGCTGTACTTCAACCTAAAAGCTGGGTATCTGCTAAAACCAAGGTCTGCAGATGGGAATATAAAGCAATTTTAAAATAAGAGATCATTTAGATGAGAGGACTTTATTTCAGCTAAGTCCTAAAAACCATATAAAATTTACATGTTTTTGAGATATCCCTCTCCTGTCACTCTGAGCAAGTTTTAGAATGTTTTCAGTTTTACCTCCAGGCCAATAAATGTAAGGTGTTTCTGTAAAACTCCAGAGACAAAAAGGAGTGAAACAAAGTAGTTACATACTTTCAGTACATGAAAGAGATACACCTCATCACACTGCAACTGTATGCATAGAATCCAAATAGCAATAGAAAATGTGAGCTGCTCATGTGATTTAATCAACTGTAAAACAAAGCTCTTTGGGTCCAACAGCATTTGCTTACTTAATTCTTTAATCACATCACATTTGTACTGAAGAAGGGACCAGCATGATCCTCCAAAGCAAAACAATGGACGTGCCTAATAGCACCGTCACTCCCAGACAGTATCCACTGGGCAGTCTAAGGTTTAGAGTCTTTCCTGAACAGGTCAAGAATACATAATAGGTAAGAGAATACAGAGTGGCAGCCTCATATTCTTTTATATTTTGTGCAAGCGGTGCATGGAGAAGAACCGCCCACCCTTTTGTAATCTGACATAATTAAGCTTTTAAAAAGTCCAGTGTTACATCTCTACCTAGCTTTTCTGAGTAATTAGTTTGCAGGGAATATGGATAGATTTTGGAAGACTGAGGATTTGGAGATGAATAAGGTTCTGGATGAATGAAACCAGTGACTCTAGAATTAGGTCAAGCAGTAAAATGAGGCCAAGGAAAAAAACACATTTAGGGACTCTTTCGACTTGGGACTGTGTTATTCTCTATGGGCACTTATTATAGGTAGAACGCCTTCAGCGCTGGAAAAGCAGTGAATTCACTTCCCTTGGTAATCATTTTCTGTGAGCAAAGCATAAGTTTATGAAAGGTGAAATCTGTGGCACCCAAGAGAGAAATGTTGTTGAACTTTATTTCCCATTGCATACATTCCCCCCATTCCTCACACTTCTTTTACGATAATACAAAAGCAAGAACAATTACACAGAAACTGGAAGAGGAAATTTTTTTTTTTCAAATAGACTGAATGTCTTAAAGAAGCTCTCAAGTATCGGTATCTATTAGACTATGGAATTGTCCTCCAAGGGAAGGCATTCAAAACCAAATAGATGAAACATGAAGAACAGTCAGGGAACTATCTCAAAGTAGCAGCAAACTATCTGCTCCAGCCTACCTACACCGGTCACTTCCCAGCCCTCATTTATATTTTGCATTCCATTTTGCATGCTTTTCTCAAGGATTACCTTGGGCTTTAGTTGCAAAACTTCTAATATGCTTTTACAGGTGTTACCATATGTCTAAATCCTGATGTAGCAGTTCGAAAGTCAGACTACTGTCTTTGTCCTACATATTTTTCTTCTCCCATTAGCAATTTCTTGAGCTGTGGGACTAGAGTCCATAAAAGTGAAATTAATTTTATGTTTATGTGCACCGTATGGTTTTGATTATGGGTGAATTGTTCATCACTCATCTGTCAAGGAGCTCACCCCTGTACCTTGAGGTATGTCACTTACAAGGCAATGGAATGTGTAACACAATGATAAATGCTAACTTTGAACCTAACTGCTTCATGGTTTCACCTTTAAGTTTTACTGATAAAATTAATAATAGGTATTTTTTCAAGGCTCGGAAGATTTGTATCATCTTCCAGAAGACAAAAGCATACATATTCAAGGCTAAGTATTTGGAAGCCAGAAGTTTTTAACGCCAACAAATTGACTTCATTACTTCTGGTATTTTGATCACACTTAGGGCATCAAGTCTCTGGGTATAAAAGCCTTACAATACCTTCAATGCTGGACTCATCAGAACTGACCCACTTGGGATTATTTCAGATGTTTCCACAGTCATGTTTCTTTATTTCCCCTTTGGCTTTAAGAGAGAAACGACTGGCAATGGTGGTCATTACAAAAGCACGCCATCTTAAAGCCTTTTGCTGGGGTTTGTTCCGGTGTTGGCGCACATTCCTCCCAACGTACACACTTTTTTCTTACAACCCCTCTGTGCACTGAAAATCTGGTATTTATAATACTAACCCTAGGCACTGTGTGAACTACTATCATTACAGAGACATTAACTTGTCTCAGAGTTAATCGTTTTTAAAAAGGCAAAGGCTTGGGAAATCACCATTTAGGGGAAGAAATTGAAGCCCGGAAAAATAAAGTGACTTGCTAAGCAGGTTACGAAGCAGTCAATGACAGAGCAAGAATTCAAAGCCAGATATTATCTACAAGCCCAATACTTCTTTCACAACCCCTCTAGTTTACTATAACCTACTTTTTCCAAAAGTTCCATGTTATCAATAACCAAATTAGATATGCCAAACAAATTCCCCTAGAGTCAATCCCCTGTAAGCCTAAAATTATACTACTGACTACCAAAGCCTTGATTTGCAGAGCTCAAACCAAGTGATTTAAATTTTCCTGGGGCTTAAGAAGCTAAAAACAGACCTAAGTCCATAGGTCCACCAATGCTTCTTTGACTATAAACTTTTACTTAATGAATCCACATCATTTTAGTATGTACCAAAGGAGAGGCTAAACATACAATTTCACCTAGAGCCAGTATCTTTTAAAAAGGCAATGCTAAGTGCTCCATGTTATACCGATATAAAGGGAAACTGGAGTTAGCAATCAGTACTTAATTCTGGACTGTACAGCATTCTTACAAGCTTTCACCTGAAAAAACATTCAAGCATTGACAAGTAGCCCTGGATCTGGATCTGTCCACAGATATTAACGCAAGCAGGGCGTATTTAAAGCCCTCAGGCCACACATATCCAGCTCTTGCTGTATAATATCAAGCCTAGGTCCTCGAAATGCTGATGCGCCCCCATAGCAACTGCTTTTTCTTTTTACTCTGTCCCTTTTTGCTTGCTGCTTAATTTGGGCTCTTTTACTATTACTTACAATTCTAAGACAAAGTTCCACATAGTAAACCTCCTTATCCTCCAATGTTCTTTGTCAAGGAGGAGTAAAGTTGGCTTAAGCCTGGCATCTGTCCACCAGGCCAGTGCTGTTAACAAGCTTCCTCCATGTACGACCATCAATATTCCATCTGCTATTTTACCTCCTCCTTTTTCATGTCTACCTGGACTTTAAAAACCCCACAACAGATCTAACTTCATTTTTCTTCTCAATAATTCAAAAGAGACTTCAACTAATTTTCTTAACTGGTATTTTCTCACACTAGAAAAGTATGCTGATATATAATTTTTCAAAAACCTTCTAACAAAAACAGGAAGAAAAAGGAAAGCATTTTGTTTCACTCATTCTTAGATACTGATGTTGGCAGTTTATTAGACATTTCAGTTAACTGAGATTAATCAGATTACTAGTATTTTGCCCTAACACTGGTGGTTTTATCTTGCCTACAAGGTTTCCAGCCATCATTTCATAGTACCTGCTTGCTTGGATCCTTTAGGAATCAGTCTTCCTTCCTAAGAACCCTCATGGCTGCTCACCCTCATTTCATTCTCAATGTCACCTGCTTTGCTGCAAACGCTTTATACCCCCAAGACAAGTCTCTAAGTCAATGCTAAACCAACATTTACTGTGGATCCTGGACATTTAATACATATGTTCATACCATTCATCCACTTAATTTACACAGAAGCCTTCTTTTGAATTTCTTAGAGCTCTTTGCAGGTAGAATAAAACAACTTCGACATACTGGTTTTGGGAATCCAATTACCAACTCACAACCTCTGTCACACTGTACATTTATCTATATACCAGGAGTGCTCTCCATAGCTTACTGAATAGTTAAGGTTGTAAAATAGAATAATCTTTTTACGGGGTAGTTCTCATATTAACCTCATTTTCTTTTTCTGTTTCAGAAGAGACGGGGCTGGGGAGAGAAAGGAATGCTGAAAGGGCAGGGAGGAGCACATTATGCTTTCGTTTGCTATTTAGAAGAAATATCAACATGCCTTCTGATCATCCCTTACAAATAAAGAACACAGACTGGAGCAATTCCATGCCATTAGCACTCAGTCAAGAAAGAGGGGGACAATCAAGCCACACTTGACAAGGGACAAGACCATTCACTTTTAGGGCTAAGGGAATTAGCAAAGAGCATTTTCCCATAGTGACAAGAGGAAACGAGAATCGAAAACATCTTTCAACTGCATTCTGAATCTAAGAGGTTCTTCTTGCAGCCCAATTAGGAACCTACATGTAAACCAGCTCTAGGAGAAAACAGGTCCCAAAATTTCAATATGTGGTTGAAAATGAACTTTTGGCTAATTTGTTATTTAGAGACCAAATTCATTTGCTTTAGGTATTTCAACATAAGAATAAGGCACAGTTCTCATGGCTGAGAATATGTACAAAGGAAATGGCTATTTTCCTAGGCAGAGGTTGGAATACAGCTGTGTCCATGTGCTCCACAGTTGAAATACATGATTTTCACCTTTTGTGGCACTCAGAATTGCCACCATGCTCTCAGCTGCACTGGATGTATTTTTTGCACCATACCTACTCTGTCTCTGCTCATACATGTGCTGCCAATAATACCAGTCCACAGTGGCAGACAGGAATGAAGGGTATCTTTTAGCAAATTTCAAAGAATAGCAGGTAATTTATCTCATAGTGAATATTCATTAGGCAAACCAAAAAACAGCAAACAGGCATGGGCTAAAAATCTTTCCCCTTAACTCCACACTACTTCAAAGGCAGTATTAAGGTATTTGGAAAACGGAAGGATTCAATTCAGTGATGAAATTTTTCTTTAGGATAAGCTGACACATTTTCTAAGAACAGACCTAGGCTGGAAGCCAAAGTCACTAAGCAATTTCCAATCTTTGGCTGTTTTTTAAAAATCCCTTGAGCAGCAGCAGAACAGTAACTCCCGCCCTTCACGAATATATATTTTTTAAAATGTTTTAGCACCCTCATAAGATAATAGTTGAACTTTTGGTATCAGATAAGTAGGAATAACACAAAAGGATATAAATTCAAAGCTAGTTTGAATTTGATAATGTGTTTGGAAATTGATATTTTGCTCATCAAAAAAGCAACAGAACAGGTTGAGCAGATGTTGTAATACACACATACTCACATATACTTTGGCTTATAGACAGAGCTTGCTGTGTCTGAGGATTTGGAACTTCTGATAACAACTACTGTCCCTTGAGGGACAGTGGCACGGTTGCTAGAAATCATTTGTCTAAGGTAGGTTTTCAAATCCCAAGCTTCCAAGTTCTATGGCCATTACAAGAATATTCTCAGTTATTTTACATTTGATAACAGTATGAAAACAATTTACAGAATTGTAACCAAAACTGTGAATGTAAAGAAATTGTGAATTAAACCCTCACTCTGCTTCACAGCACTACGAAAAACAGGAAGGACATTTGTGGGTTTCCAAGCCACCGCCCTGCAGCAGCCATCAACTTACATTATCAGCACCCCAGCCTCTTCTCCTCAGTTAATATTAGTAAGGTCAGCACTCTGTGAGAGGCCCAAGGCCATTCTGATCCTATGGTGATCGGTAACCACAGTTGGGTGAAATACAAAAACCATTCCACTTGAAACCAAAGAGTCCACACACAAATTCTCTAAGCACAATCAATGCCTGACATATAGTAGATGCCAGCAAATTTGGCTATTTTTATAACTATCACAAGCCAGTAACTCATGAAGTCTGGATATGAACTACACGCCAGACCCTCATACCACTGTATGTTGCCGAGACTCTTGCTAAAGATCCTGACCTGTTTCAGTCCCTGCTGCTACTGCCATTTCTCTACTTTAAATAAACGTGTCCATATTCCTAGAAATCGTTAACTAAAAAGATGAAACCAGTAGGGTAGGAGGTGTTGGAGTTGGAGGGCTTAAGTGCCACCAAAATAAAATAAAAACCCTTCCTAGAGGAAAATGCTACCTCATTTGAGAACAAATTGTCAAAGCTTATGGGATAGTTTATTCTACATGAGGGCAGTACATGAGGCCCACCAAGTCACTAGTCAGTGATACACTCTGTCCAGATATGTGAGATGTTTCATAATTAAAGTATTATTGCTAAGATTTGGCATGTTAGTATTTTGATCAATTATATTAACATTACTTATAATTTTATTTCTAAAATATGTAAGTTGTATTACTAGTAGGTTGTATAAGAATATAATTTATATAATAATTTATATTATATAATGTAATAGGATTACATTAATATAGTTGTTAGTATAGTATTAACATTTTAATATAGTTATTACAAATGTTTTCTGTTATAAAAATCAATTTTATTTCAGGGATATTTTCTTCCCATCCTCAGTTAGCATACCTCTGCTTTATAATGGAAAAAGATAGGGAAATCAGGATTCACGTAAGTATCACCGAAACAGATATTCCTCAACTCAAGTGGCATCTGCTAACATGAGGTGTTAGTAAACTTGACCATCAACATCTACAGACTCCATAGGGGTGGGAGATACTCCTGTGCCCCTAAGGCTGGGGCTGCCTTTCTATACCCTTTGTTTTAAAATTCAGAGAGAGTGAAGATCAGCTGAGGCAATAATGCTAGTTTGTCCCAGAGCCCAGAATCTGGAATGTTACCCAGAGTCCCTTATGCTCAAAGAGGCTGTCAAAGAACGGAGCGTGGCTGCCAGGGCCTCACAAGGGCCAGTGGTCACACTCCAGCCTCAAAGTGAGCACAAACATTAGGTGCTCCACTATGGTCATGGTCTCAGCAACATGCAGGAAACAAATGGCTGAGTCCTTCCATTCATTGTCATCTGGGTAAAACACAATTAAACATCAAAGACTTGAGTCCCACATACTGACATCAAAATCTTTTCCTCAAGGCCAAAGAAACAACTTGTCACATGCACTTAAAAGAGGTTGGCATAAGTTAATATTAGAGAGATGCAGAGAAGGGACAAAACCCTAGGAGAGAAAAATCACGACTCTCTCAAATTACTGTCTTCCATGGGCTGAAAACCTCTATTAAATGGGGACTTTGATGCTAAAGAAAAAAACGACAAAAAAATCTTACTCGACCTCACCTCCATCAACTTTCCTATTTCACTTGGAATGCGTAACTTGGCCATCCACATCTTGGACCACTTGACCATTCTGTGAAATACTAAGGACATAACCCATAAGGCAATCTCCAAACTCAGGGGGCGCACCATAAATTCAACACTTCTATTTTAATGTGGGATCAACTTGTCATGGTCACAATGGTAGTTATGACTTCCATCCATTCCGTTTTCCTTCCACACATCACAACATCTCACAACATTTCACCAGCGTGACCCCAATGACTCAGGACTTACTTAACAGGGGTGAGATATGAAAGGATTCAGATGTGTTTTGTTCCTGCGTGGAGTCCCAGATAAGGAACTGAGATGATAGTAAGTAGGTGGGTGAAGGAGCAGAAACAAAATCCTGTACACGTTTCCAAAGCCTCTGGGAAATAAACTGGTTTTATTATTTTCATTTCTCAGAAGAACTACTTCCCGCAGCAAGACAGTTAAGAGACACGCTGGATGAGGCAACAGTAGGGAAGAAGGGGAGATGATCTTCAACTGGCTGTGTGCTGACAGACTGTATGAATAAAAACAGTAACCCCCAAAATCTGGGTTTTGCTAGGAAAAATCTCTTATGAAAGGCAGAGATGTTATTTCAGCTGTGATGTTATCTTTGTGTCGAAGGTCAATCAGGAAACATGTAGCCTGAGTCACCTGGGTTTGAATCCCAGTTCTCCCTCTTCCTAGATGTTTGACTTTTGCAGGGAAGTGGTTTCCTCTGAACCTTAGATCTATCATTTGTAAAATGGAGTTAATGAAATCAACCTCATAGAGTTGTTGTGAAGAATAAACCAAGGTAAGACATGTTGGATGCCTGGTGCAATAAAACTTCATGCCCCTCAGTTCATGTCCCAGCTGGAGGCTTTCTACAAAATGTAGGCTAGGTGGAACTCAAGGAAATGCAACAATTCAAAAAATCAGGAGCTCTCAAGATGTTCAAGGAGATAAAAAAAACTAAATTACAGTAGAATTAGCCTCAATAAATAAAACAAACAAAATTAAAATAAACAGGTTCACTGTTGTTATCTGGCCATTTGATATTACTATGTCTTTTACTCTCTACCACCTTTAAATAGTCAAATTTCTCAAAATAGTTAACTCTACTATCCCCTTTTTTCTCAACTTCCATTTCATATCTGGCTAGTTCCAATTCAGCCTATAACCTTATCACTTTACTGGAGTATCTCCCACTAAAGTTACCAATTATCTCCATGTTGCTAAATTCAAAAACTTTTGTTTTTAAGTTTTCTTCTCATTAGTCTCCTTAGCAGCAGCTGATGCTATGGGCCCTTCCTGGAACATTTACCTCCTCTGTGTTCCTTCACATGACAGTATGTTTTCTTCCATGCCACTGTTTTTATTTTTTTTTTCTATCTTTTTAAATTGCATTTTAGGTTTTGGGGTACATGTGAAGAACCTGCAAGATTGTTGCATAGGTACACACATGGCAGTGTGATTTGCTGCCTTCCTCCCCTTCACCTATATCTGGCATTTCTCCCCATGCTATCTCTCCCCACCTCCCCATCCCCCTGTCCCTCCCCCATTTCCCCCCAACAGACCCCAGTGTGTAGTGCTCCCCTCCCTGTGTCCATGTGTTCTCATTGTTCAACACCCGCCTATGAGTGAGAACATGTGGTGTTTGATTTTCTGCTCCTGTGTCAGTTTGCTGAGAATGATGGTTTCCAGGTTCATCCATGTTCCTACAAAGG